AGTAAAAGTACTTTATCTCTCTGTTTTTGAGAACATAATTGGAAACTATGAAGAATACAAATTTCACTCGTGAGCTTAATAAAAGAGCAAGAATATAAATATGCCAATGAACTATAGATTCAGCATTTGTTGAAGTAAGTCCTTCTCAAGGTAAATTAGTGCAAGGTAAATTTTCCATTGCCATGACTAGTGTGCTGACAGCAACACCAACTCAGCTAATCTAAATGGTTCTAAATGTGTATAGTTCTGTGCTGTTCAGGCTCCTGTGTGCATTGGTCTGCAGCTTGCTAATGAAGGAAATCCTGCTTTCTTTAGTAGTGGGTGGGCAGTGAGAAGCAATGTTCTGTTCTTTCCAGAAAGCCTTCACCTGTCCAATGTCAAAGTAATTGTTTGAACCATACTATGATATTCCCACATTACATGTCTACTTAAGAATATTTTGGGTCATAAGTGGGGTTTCTGAAACTGCTTAAGATTTTGATTTTAGAAGCTTTTTTCTTTAAGCTCCTAAAACTCTTCAGGCTTTCGGAAAACTTTGTTGCCTGGAAAAGTTTTGTTGAAGATTTTAGTAACTTGCTGTAGCATTGCTTCTAAATGAAGTAGATCTTGGTTGTTCCTTTAGAACCTGACATGATCTCAGCTGTCTTAATAGGTGCATTTGTTCTGTGCATCATGGTATCTACTACCTTCAATAACTTCTCTCTTCTGTTTGCTAATTTGGGAACTAGCAATGCAGCTTTTCTATGGTGTAGCAGGTCTGCTAATGTCACAAGGATTTACTAATTTAAATAATTATTCTAAGGTGTAGAAAATATTGATAACTGTAAAAAAATTAGAAAAAAAAATTATTTCCTTTTTGGAAAGAGACAAGAACCTTTTGTAGAAGTTATGACAGAAGTCCTGTTTTTTTTTTTTTTTTTTTTTTTTGTCTTCTTTTCATTAATTAAGGAAATCTAGAGATTGTCTTTTGAGAATTATTACCTTGAAGGCCATTGTTAGGAAGATTTGTTGGTTCTTGCATAATGAAGTCCTCAATATATCTAATAGAAAGATGTGCTCCTTTTCTATTGAATTTCAAATGGACCATAAAAATATTTCAGAAAACAGAACTATTATCTTTAGTATGTTTTGAAAGCTCTACAAGAGTCAGAAAGTCACTGAGGATCTGCTCATTTGGGTGATCCAAATACAAGTTTGGAAAAGAACCAGTGTATAAGCTCAAGCAGATCAAGCAATTCTCTCTTGGCCTCAGACAACAGGACAGGCTGCAGTCCATGTTTTCAGAACTTGTGAATTTCTCTTGAATGGCTCTTAAATAGTGTTTTGTTTCATGGTAACTTTTAAAAAGAAATTGATTTTCTACTTGGATTTTTATCAATATCAAAGGGAACGATTTTCTAAATATTCAGTGGCTTGCCCTTCCCCCTGACTCTCTCTGTGGTAGAATACATCAGAGCAAAACCCATAAACCATCCTTTCTAAAATATAATGGAGTGTGACTGCTAATAATCATATATCTCAAATACTGAAACGGTTCTTTATAATTCTTTGAAAATCTCTCAGTATCCCTGGGGAAGATGTAATCTGTATCAGAAAATCCAGTAATATTTACCTCAGATCCTTGTTGTCTTTATAGATAGTCTTTATAATGTAAGTATTAAATATGTGCAGACATGGCTTAGTGTCAAGGATTAAAATTTAGTTGTACAAACAGATTCTTTCTCATATTTCAGGGATTTGTAGGACAAGATTCTTTTGCTTACAGATTTGCTCTCTACACGAACTGTTCTAGAAATTCAACAAAATTAATTTATAACCAAGTATATGAAGTAATTTATTTAAATCTAAAGCATAGAGTGGTCAAAGCTAATGGAACTGACCATTGAATCTAGGTCTGTAAAACAAAGTGTCTGTACGAGTAAAACAAGAGAATGTAATGTTGAGTTTGGGGAGAATATTTAAGACCCCCAAAACTATTTTATTGTGGTATGCCATCTTGGATCAATAAAAGAAATACTAATCTTTTGCTAGCATTTCGTGTTAAAAAGTTGTCTGAACATCCTTTTCTGCAGTGAGGAAGGAGTGCAAAGTAATTTTGCTGATAATGGGTGCACATTAAGTAAGATAAAAAAAAAAAAAAGCAAAACAAAATGCCTTCTTTATTTCCTTAACCAGTCTGATATTTCAAAATGTTGAACGTGGTATTTCTGTCTTAGCTAGTGAACATGAGATTTCCTAAAATGAAAGTTAAGTGGTTAAAATGAACTGAAAACATTCAGTTTACTACAAGTGATGTAGGCCAGCATAGTGACCTCCTGAGTGTTTGTTGTTTTTTTTTTTTTAAGGAATTAATTTTCTTAAGGATTAGTTCAGATTGCTGAAGGCTGTGTCACATTCTTTATGTATATGCCTGATAGCTGCACTCAGTCTAAATAGGCAAAGAAAAAATAAATAGTAACATGACTATCAGTTTGTGAAATGTCAGTTTTAATTTCTTGATTGGCTCACCAATCTCTCCTCTTTCAAGAAAGGACAGGAAGGGAAAAGCAACAGTTATTTTTGACATGCCCTTAGGTAATTATATTCTTCTTCATCAGACAAGAATGTGTATGCTTGACTGAACAATCCAGAAATTAAAAGCTGCTGCACTTATTTGAAAGGCATGTTTTCTTTTGAGGTTTGTGCCACGATTTAGAATAATCTTTGTCTCATTTTAGCTATGATCCTCTCTTGGGGAATCGAGTAGGATTGCTTCTTATAGCATTACTGATGAAGATATAGCTGATCAAAAGTGTAGTAGTGTATTTTAACTTCCAATTAAATTTTAGTATAGAAGACAGGAGTAGCACGTGTCACAGCATCATGCTGGGCTGGTTTGCCTGTTAGAGCTTACTAGGCCAAGTGACAGTTTCACCCACAGACAAAGGATGATGGGGTTGGGACTGGTCTCTGCAGTCTAATATCCTCTTGTGTGTGTGCCCTGGGGAGCTGCCAGACATCAGATGGAGGCAGGGACACAGGGACAGGTAGCTTCAGTCACATCTCCATAGGAAGAGTATGACAAGTCCACTCAAGAAGAAGAGGAAGAGGAGGTAGGACTCCAGCTTTTCCTTTCCTCTTCTGGACTTCATGATAACATCAAGTTTGGATGCCTTGATGTTTGCCAGCTCCTGAATCACCAGCAAAAACTCTCCTTTACAGACTGCAGAGGATGTAATTAACTGGTTCTAAAGCATTGCTTTTTTCTGGGAGGTGAATGAGGATCAAATTTGTCAAACAGATATCGGACATGAGACTCAAATTTAGGAATGTAAATCAAAATGGCTTTTATTTTCTCAATGAGGCTGGGCTCACACCTTCTGCTGCAGCTGTGGGTGCCCCCCTTACCAAGAAGTGGAGCCACTGTTATTAAAGTGCTAAACGTGCACTGCAGCAGTTAATCTTACAGACCAAAATGTGAAAAAATACTGGCTCTCTAAACAGTAATCTTTCTGTTCCTCATTCTGTGTTCACACAGCTCTTTTAATTAATCAATTAAAAAAAGAAATACTGATAATCAATTTCTCCATCTCAGACATGTGGTATTCATGCTTGTTGTCTGGCTCATGTATTTCCTCTTCAGAATATTGACAAAATTCACATTAGATAATATTTCTGAGGAGTTTTTGCATTCTCAACTTGACAGAGAGGGTTAAGTTTTGTGCTTTCTTGTTGGAAGTTTTTGTTGTTTTCTTTTTTTTTTTTTTTATTTTTGCTTAAGTAAAATTAATTTGATCTTTGTAGCTCACTAGCTTTCTAATCTCCAAAGCTATATTATCACCAGCTTAAAATAAACTACATGCTGATTGATAGAGTGGCAGGGAAAAATTTTTCTCATCTGACTGGAAATGCATCGTTTGCCAGAAGTGAGCTTTATTTTTATTTATTTTTTATTTTTATTTTTGCCAGCCATTTCTTTCACTAACATTTTATTCCACTCAAATCGCTCAAATGTTAAGAGATTTGTTTTTGCACAGCTATGCGAGGTAATAGCTTACTACTGCTTTTCCTGTGTTAAAATGCTGCATGCGCAGAAGTGCTTGAACTGAATGTTTATGAATATATGTTCAACACCATGTATTTGATAACAAATTGCAAGTCAAACCCAGATATATGCAGAATAAAGCCTTCTGCCTGTTGCTAGTTCACGGTGTTATCGTTTATCTGCCTCACCACGTAGCATGCTTTGCAAATAAGATATTTCTGCAGCAGTCTACAGGCAAATCTTTACAGCTGGCTTTCCGTTGTGTTCTGATTCAGATCCGAGCTTTTAATGCAGCTCATTTTCTAGAATGTCCTTTATCACGAGGAGAAAGGGAGAGATGACTGCTTTGCATTTTTTAGATGAAATATGTTGTGGACTTTTACCGAGACTAAAGTCTCTTGATAACTGCCAAGCTTACATAAAGCAGGAAGGAGGGAGGAGAAAGCTTGATATTAAATACAGTAGATAAAACTACACATAACCTTTGAAAAGGAAGAACTGTGTAACACCTAAAATATTATATTTAAACAGATTACCTTTTATATTTGATGTTAGTGAAATGAACCAATTTTTGAATTTAAGCCTGATGAGATATGTGACTTCTCAACAGGAGTGAGAAATATTTTCATTACATCCAGGTAGAAAATTGATTTTTACTTAATGCAAAAGGTGATGTGTGGTATTTCTTTAAATCTGTAGTAGGAAACAGAATGCATCTCCTCATGCTGTACAAAAATCAATTTACCAAAGCAAAAGTGTATTCTAGACTGTGAAACAGAGTGGAAACAAAGCAGTTCTGGAGATGGCACTTTGTACTGACTGCAGTAAGTTTAATTCTAAATTTGTAGAGGAAAGTCTTTGTTCCACCTCGATTTTAAGCATTAAAATAAAATAAAATTTTTTAAAAAAGTGGAAAATGTACAGCAAAAAAATAATAGGAAAAGAAAAATAATTATATTTTGAATTAGAAATAAAAAGGATGAGAAAAGAAAATGCTGAGGAAAAAGAGGAAAAAAAGAGGAAAATGGATATGTCTGTACCCTACTATGCACTCTAAAATCTGTATAGAATCTACTGAATAAAGAAGAAAGTTGCTGGAAGAGATACTGGCACGCTGACATTCATTCCTCTGCATGTACTAAGAATTCATTCTGCGTTGTGTACTAAGAACTGCTCCAGCTCCCATCAGAATTTTTGCTTCCTTACACGTGGCTCTTCATATTCAGGAAAGCCATCAGATCAACCCTAATCATATCATAGGATATGATATCACTGCTCATCATACAAATTGACTTCATGTAAGTTTTGTTGGAGTAATTTGGGTGGTTTTCTGTCTGTGTGTATAGACAGCTTCCCAGGTTACAATCTGTGCTGGTTCAGTGAAAGCCAAAGTATGCCTTTCTGACAGCTCAGTCAGGTGAACTGCTACATCTCTGAGGTAGAAGAAAAAATGTTTTGAGAGAGATTGAAAAATGTTGCATTTAATCTTTTCAACAAGAAGCCATCAATCCATTGCCTTTGGGGAGACACTGAGAAAACTTCAGAGTAACAGAAGATGATTTACATTTCATAGCTTAAATACAAGAGCAGAGAAAATAGGCCATTATAGCGATGGAACTACCTTCATTGTTACTTGATCTACAAAAACAATATCTTCTAAGAGGATTGAAGGCTGATAAGTAATCTGTAGCTACATCATTCAGCTACTCTTTTTTACAAATGAAAGCCTTCACATAAAATTTAAACCTATCTTTTCACCATGACTATTTAGATATTACAAAAAAAAAAACCTAATTCATAGCAGTGGGGTTACAGAATGAAATATCTTTTTGGTCAGTGCTTTGCTGGTTACAGTTATCAGGTCTCACTGCAACAAGATTTCTTATCTTATATCTTATCTTAGAGTTTTTACACTGAGAAGCAGGTTGTATGTGTATATTATTTTTATACATGTATGGATGTGCAAAAACACAATCAGTAGGCTGAACAAGTTACTGCCACTGGAATATCAAAAGATCAGGAGTTTCACTGTACTGGTATGAGATATCTGTTTTGCTTAAACTTTACCCTTTTAATATTGTATTACATTTTTTTTTCCCTGCCTGTTTCATTGACTGCACTTATTTTAAACCTGTATAAAATCTGAATTTATGTATTGATTTCTAATTTAAGTTCTCTTGCTGAAAGTGAAGCCCATACAAACCTATAGAGGACTTAAATTCATATGATATAACAATGGCAGAATTGTAGAAAAATATGACTACCTGATGCTGTGTTTTTTTTAAATTACTATTAAAAAGGTAATAGAACTTGCTGAAATGAACATTTCAATTGTTATTGAACAAATCTATTCTTTATCTGTAGTATTTTTCTTAAGACAATAGTAATTTCATGGACACAGCTGTTGGTAACATTAAAAGGGTAAATTAGGTGGGTATATAACAGTATTGTGTCTGTAAACTTGTTTCTGCACTTGTGCTTCCATTAATGAGAATTGTCTACTAGTGTCACTTAGGGTAGATGCATCTTCATGGATCATTCCTCTCTCTTCTGGCCAGGGAATCACACAGTTCATTGTTTCCCAGCATCACTGTCAGACTTGAAGGATCTCCTTCCCTGAGAATATATCTACCTCGCAGTGTGGGTGCTGTCACTTCTGCCCGTGCAGACTTTGAAACCAGAAGACTGAGGTTTGCATGTGGGAAAATTTTGGCTAGGTTGATTATGTTCCAGTTCAGGTTGGGAATCTCTGTGCTTGATAGCACTGAAGCAGGATGTATTCAGTACTGTGAGAACATGGCAATGGTGCAAAGTCCAGTCTGGAGTGAGTTTTTTCAGTTCATCCAGGCACAAGTATTTTTACAATTTTTTTGCTAATATTTTATAAATGTGATGACATATATGCAGTCTTACACTTGACTCTGACTAGAACTGAGAAGGCTCATTTGCTCATGCTTTATGTTCTTCCTTGTCTTTCAAAATTACTGTTAACTTGTGATTAACATTGTTTTCTGCGTTATATAGTTGCTGTTTAGACTGGAAGAACCAACACAAATGATGTCTCTTAAATTGTAATTTACAGTGTGCTAGGAAAAGCTTTTTAAAAACTTCTGTCTGATGTTGACTTGCATCTTCATCTCTGAAATATTTCAGATTATCCATCCTCCTGTGTGTCCTTATTTCAGAAAAGCTCTATTTTTTTTAACATCACTCTTCCCTTTGAAATGTAGTCTTTGAATACCAATGAACAAAATAATGTTTTTGATTGACAGCTGTAATTTAAAAAAAAAAACACCTCTCTTTCAGGGAATTGTTTGTAATGGCTTGGAATATTTGCTTTCTTATGATTCAGCACCATTTCCCACAAGTGATACAATATTTCTTAAGAGGTTTACCTTGTCAAACATTGTTAAAATATAAATAAAATAAACAAAATGGATTTGAAGCTACTGGGTACCAGTAATGGCTTGTTGTCTTAGATGTGAAACAAATATGAATTTTTCCTAAACTTTACCTAAACTGTAGATTTTTCTCAGGCTACACAAAATGACTGTTATATTCCTGTGCTGTTCACTACAGCTTTGTCTGGCTTTAAGTTTTGGAGTCAAGGGGCAGCAAGTGATACCTATGGATTTCATGTTAAGAAGTTGTTCATAAATTATGGATGAAGTGGGACAGTTATTAGTATTTAAAGACAATTCTTGAAGATGAATATTAATAGGTGTAAAAACCTGAAGGAATTCCAAACAAAACCTTTTTGAAATAGGCCAACTAAACAAAGTTTGCATGATTCAATAAATAATGCTACTGATACTGAAATGGTGGATTAATGATGTATACACAGATATGGGCCATATCCTGATATCCTGCCTGTTATTTATACAGAGAAATGGATCCTCATAGCACAACTCCTTGACTGTTCAGTGAGTCTTCAGAGTTCATTTTCCAAGTAGTGATTTCTACGCAAGCAACTTGAGTGAAACCTTTGCACCATTAACTTAGATTGTTTGCTTTAATCTTGGTCTGAGGCAGATCTATGTAAGAGAGAGAGATGCCCTTGAACAGGGATGGCCTAGAAATAACCAAAACCAGGTAAGCATGGATTGTTGGCAACTCAGTTGTTAGAGCTGTTATGTCCAGTAGAAGAGATCAGTGTAATGTCCACTCTCAAAAGATTGTGTAAACTTGTTTACATTTTACAGATGATAATTTTTTTTCAAGTTTTAAAACATTTTTAAAATTTTTCATTTCTAAGGAATAGCAAAATGTAAATATTGCCAATGGAATTAATATGCAAACTCTTAAATAAGGTCAGTGCAAAGTGAGAGAGAATACAGAAGTAATTAATGGACTTGAGAAATGCAAGTATAGTTGGGCCTGCTAATCATTTCTCCTACTCTTGCTATTCTTTCCCTTCTGAGGTTGTGCCATCCTGCCTGTCCAAGCTTTGTCTAGATATTTTGACCTTCTCCTTGGTTTGCGTGCATGTTCTGCAAAATATGAAACTGTTCTCATTTTACACAGAGTATTAGTGTGAAGACTTCTCTTATGCTCTTTTTTTAGGGCTATTTGGTTGTACTGCCCTTCTAGAAGATGTGCTAGAGATCTATGTGCTACTGGGTAAGGATTTTGTGAATTTTTGATGAAATTCCTGAGTCAACCCATTATTTCTAAACCTTAGAGAAAGAAGTGTAACATTGTTTTAGAATAATTCTGGTTTTGTGAGTTCTCAAAGATTATTTGTTTCAGATAATTTATTCCTACTTACACAAGCTAATTCTTTTTATTTTTGGTGAATTGAGCACAGTATGCTAGAGATCTGATATGCAGAGACTGAAACAGTAATTACAGAGTCACTGTGCGGAGCCTTGTGATATGATGCCCTTACTGTGAAGCATTCTGTTTTGTCAATAAGCTTACATCAATACTTGGCAGGTCATTTCTGCAATTTTAATATTTCAGAATATAAACTAGACAAAGTCAGTAATACCAAATAGGAGCTGCTTTGCATCTGAAATTGACAAATCCTATTTTGAAAGCATGCATGAACATGAGGATCAAACCTAGATTTTAACATTTACATTTTTTTTGCAATTGGAAAGTGTCTGATCCACTTCTAATTTACCTGTTGTTAATTTCCTGAATCTTTCCTAATCCCTTGCAGCTGAGATGTCCTCACCATTGGAGAAGCAATTAACAAAATCCCTGACTTGAGTCTATGAAGCATCTGTTAAGGAAGTATAAAAGGTTAACTTAAATCCCAGCACACAGTTGTCAGACTAGAACAAATCAGCATGGAGAATTACCTGGAGGCACCACAAGGTTAAGGTGGAGCATATGTGTGGTAAAAAGGTTGTTTATGACTAGCAGAATTAATTTTCCAGGATGAGAAGGTCAGACATGCAGAAATGAAGGCTGTCTGTGATGAGCAGAGGCTGTTTTAGGCTCTGGATTTCACCTGGCAAACACCAAGGTATATTTCATTGGTGTATCCAAACTCAAAACACTTAAGGTTGTGATTTCAAAAGTGCCAATAAATGTCTTCTTTGTACCAGGTTCAGTGGATTAATCATAGTGATTCTAAAGACAGTTATTTCTTGTTTCCTTACCTAACAGTATAAACTCTTTTAACCCTTCAAAATGGAGTATTTCTGTCTGTGTCATGTAAATGCAGGATGTTTTTGTATCAACATGACATGCACTTACTGTCTAATTCAAGCATCCAAATATAGTAGGCTCTATAGTATTTGTTGTAACTGAAAGTGTATTTGTTAAATTAATCGAGTATATAAATGTATGATAATTGTAAAAAGCTGGAAATGTTCAGATTGGATATTCATATGATATAAATTAGCATTATTCTTCTATTGCTACTATTGATTAAGGTAGATATATACTACCACTTACTCACTCCCAGCTTTTCTATGGTAAAGCTTGATTCCAAGACACTTGGTTGATATCCAAAGGATGTGTACTAGTGTGTAATTTTGTCTAAACTGTGCTCTACATTTGTAATATGTTGTACTTAACATTGGCATATATATTTTTTTAAAGAGTAAGCACTCACGCATTAGCTTATATGTTCTAGCAGAGTTGAAGCTGGCACAACGAAAAAGTGAACTTGCTGGAAATAATTCAGAAAAAAAAGCTACTAAAGAGACTGGAGATTGATGGGAACAATTAATGGAAAAGGAATAAATGGTCTGGTTGTACCCTTCTCATGCAGGCAAAATTGAACAGAAGATTATTTATTTGATTTTGGAGGAGTGAGGGACAACAGCCAAGAAAGGAGATGCAGCAGTCAGGGAAAAAGTTACTGAAGGGATATGATAAATGTCTCATATGCTTGAATACAGAAAAAATTTAAAATGTGGTTCAGAGCAACGTAATTAAAGTAAAAGGTTAAATTCACTACAGAAAAACTAAGTATAAAAATTAGATGAATAGAAAAAAAAAAGAGAGAAAAAATTTCCATGACAATAAAATTAATTAGAATGTGGAATGGAATGGCAGCCCTAAAAAAGCTACAGAGAATCCATTGCTCGATAATTAAAAGTGTAACTGTACCAATTATTAAACAATGTGAAGCAGAGGAAAGGCAAGCATTTGAAAGAATGGAGTAATGAACCATGGATGTTCTTATCTCTGATCTGTGTGTGCACGTATGATTAAGGTGACACTTGAAAAAGATATGTCATGCTCATGGAGTTGTTGCCTGGAAAATGATACGTTTGACTTCAAAACTTAAGTTGAAACTTAAGACTTTATTCTCATCCTAATTCTGCTACTTCTTTTTTGTTTGTTTGTTTGTTTGCTTTTGTTCACATTTAAGGTGCTTAATGCAATTCAAGACAGATTTTCAGTGTACTTTTCAGTAAGAATGTATGTTCCATTTGGGAACACTTCTACAAACTCATGGTCCCAGACACTTACAGTCTTTCCTTGCTAAGTACTAGGGTACCAACAGTGAAGTACTCAAACCTGTTTTGTACAAAATTAATTTTGTTGAGTGCAAATCCTATGGCTTAAATTTGGAAGTTGATTTTGTTTGGAAACCTACTGACATTATGGTTCCTGTGCAAGCAGAGAATGTTTCAAGTGTTCTTGCTGTTTATATGCCTTTTTGACAAGCATCCCTAACGACATGACAAATGCATGTCTCATTCCTCAAGCAGTTACCTTTGATGTACAGACGAAGTAAACTAACAAATATACTTTATCATCTTTCACAGTTGGTTCAAAATCCCTTGCCATCACTCTTGTACACTTAGCAAAGGCTGAGGACTTAACCTGTACTGAAAAAATGTACCAAGCCACTGGAAACAGCATGTTTATTTATTACCATACTACGTGGCCTAGTGAACTTTTAGATCAAGATTACTTTCTCTTCCCTACTAAGAATTACAAGTGATCCAAACTTGAAATATTTCAAGTGAGAAGTTTGGATATTATTTTTCCTGTGGTGTGGTTTTTCCCTTTGTTTTAATGTATCATTGATTTCATTTTTACCATTCACCCCAAACCATTACAAAAAGTATACTTTATGACTTGGTTATGAAAGACGAGATGTTTACTTTCATTACTCTACATTGTATTTAGTTCATTATATAAACCTTTGACAACTGCTAGGACTTCTTGGACATTACCCTTCCTTTTATGTACTGCATTAGAAAGCTCTGCTGCAGAGTGCAAATTCCCCTTTTGGGACAACTAAAGGAATGTTAGCACCAACAATGAAGTAACTGGTTATTAGATTTGCATATCAACTGATGTGTTTGGGGGATTTATTATTTTGTTACTTCCTCCTCCTTCTTCCTGAAGGTTAACGCTCTGGTTAGAAAACCTTGTTTACTACTGATAATATGTCTCATGATTGATTGAGTCACCTTATCAACATTTGATTTGCTTTTTCTTTAGGGAATAGCTGCCTTTTAGAAATAAGTTATGGGGAAATATCAGAAGAAATAAAGCAAAACTCTATGTTTAACTTCCTGTTTGAGACTGGTTAAAAATGCCCTATTTGTGTTTTGTCTTTATTGCTTCTATGAGTAACAATATTATTTTTGTGAGTATCTCTAGTGCAGATTTTCAGCCAGTAACTTGTCTATTGCTATTTGAACTCTCACATTTTCTTGTCTTAATGTCAAAAGTTGGCCACTTCCATAAATTTGTCACATGCTAGACAAGAAATTATATTTTGGAATCAAGACTTAGTTTTGATGTTTAAAAACAGCTTGCTTTAAAGCTTGTTTGCCCTAGCCTATGAAGAACTCAGTTTTAATGCTGTCATTTTGGGGGAGTTGTATTTCATTTCATTTCATTTCACTTTGCACCTTCTACAGATCTATCTTTTCTTCACATGAACTCAGTGTGTACTGTGTATGCTACTTTAGTTACATCATCTTTTACAATGGTTTTAGAAACAGCTGTTAAATTTGTAGAAGTTTACTTATCCCCTTTGAAGGAGGGAAAAGTCTCCAATAATCAACCTCCCTTTGCATTACAATAAGTAACTAGAAATATTGTCATTTCCCAAGTAGGAGAGAAGACAAAAAAAATACTGAAAAAGAAATTTAATCAACAGCTTTGAAAGATAACTGGACTGTGTCTAAACAACCTAGCTAAAAAGTCATGCGTTGATATCGTTTTTTCAAAATCTTATCTAATCAGTGTTGATTATTCTTATCCATACAAAAATAAACAAACTAATATATTTCTTATTTTCTGAGGTTCTATGTTAAGCTTGCTCTTTTCAGTTGAATCTTGATATGTATGTTTTTATGATTATTATCATGTGCATACTTTATTATTCATAACAAATCACTGAGTGGTAAGCACCTACAAAGAACAGCTGTACCTCCTTTTTAGAATACTGGTCTCATACCTACTATTTCAAGTGATGTCAGGACGTATAGCTTAGTAGTTGATTATATTTTTGTTTACTCTCTCTGCCATGCTAAGAACATCTGTTATAAATAGTTTGACAAAGAAAATGTCAAGAAGTGAAATACTGTGAGAATTAAAATTGACACTGTCTTTCATCAATGTTGAGACTGTCAGAACTTGTACAAGGCAGACCTAACTATCCACAGCAGGCAATCTGGTGCCAGCTTGCTGTTAAATAACCAACATTTAACAAGGAATAGTGTGTAAATGTACCGTGTGGTTTAAAACACTGTGTTAAGCATCATTAAAACTGAGTCCCCTTAGAGCCTTATTAAAAAAAAAAAAGTCCTTTCTCTCTCTGTAATAAAACATTTTCTCTCTGACTGTTTCAATTAAGTCTCTAACAATACAAACAAAATGCCTCCTAATTCAGTACCACACTGGAGAACTACTGTTACTGTCAAGTTACAAAAGCAGGTGGAAAAAAAAATAACTATCTTTATAGAACAGTGTATAATCAGTAAATGAGAAACACCAGGTGGCCATGTTTCCTTGGTTTTCTCAAGTCCACCAGCCCTGTTAAGATTTGTATTGGTAAATATTTCAGTGTCTACGTTTTACTTGACCATCTGTGGTTAAACTGTAATCCCCCTAACTCATGGGCATCAAGGTTTTAGGATTTGCAGGAACCAATATGCTGAGCAAATCCCTGCCTAAGCTGATTGATTAACGTTCAATTGCAAACTGATGGTGTGGGGTAGTTTTTTATTTGGAGGGAAGGTGTGAATAAAAGCATATATGTTTGGACAGAGCGCTACCATTTTGTTTGGGAAGAAATATGTCATTCCTAACATTGTTTAGTGCTTCATAAAAGTAAATATATTTTTAATATAATCTTATAGCACATTATCTGTGCCCATGTGAAGTCCCACAGACTTCCTTATGGTTGGTGAAGCTTACAGCACCGGAGCCTTCATAACTGGATATAGTGGCCAAAATGAATATGCCAAGGGATTAATTATAAGACAAAAGGGAAATTGCAACTGCATGCTAAAAACTTAGAAGCACTAAGACACAACTCCTTCAGACGCTTCAAATACTAATGAAAGAAACCTAGAAATGGTCAGTAAATATTAGGTATTACATGTAAAACATCTGTAGACGTGATTTGATGTGCCTGCAAAACGAACATACTGGACATAAGCAAAGAAGTGTTTTCTTATAGTAGAAATGAAAAATAAAAGTTTTGAATGAGATTAAACTGCCAACTATAAATGCTTGCAGAATGGAGCGGAAGGTTGTAATGTTATGTTCAAATTATGGTTGGTTTTGATTTATTTTGAATTACATACATTGCAAATGAATTTTCTTTTCTAAGCAGGCAAGCATGGTAACTACTGATTTTTTGGCTTTTAAAACAGAATACCCCAAAAGATAGCTTTGTATATGAACTCCTAAGGATCCATCCAAGATGTTTCTGTGAGATCCAGCCCAGCTGTTATAATAATAATCAATGATGAGACTCTTGAAGAAGATTAAATGTGAATGACTTGTAAAAGAATTTGGTATCACTGACCAGCAATGGTGATGATCATTGAACTGACTAAGCCCTGCTTTTTGACATTAGGGGTTTCTGCATTCCCTGTGGGTGACATGATACTTCTAAAGGATCTGCCTACTGAGTCATTGGTGCCTCTTTCATTTGCTGGATCCTCCATAAAGTGTCTCCTAAGATAATACCTTTTCTGTTTTGATCAGGAGACATACAGCTTAATGTAATCAGCATTTTAAGTCTTGCTATGCCACATTTGCAGACTTTTTACATTCTGGGAGAAAGAACATGTAAAAATTTTTAATATATAATGGCAGATCTTCTCAAAGTAAGGTGTTAAAAGCTCCAAAAAATGGTATTTGATTCAGCATAGATTTTTGTGTATGTGATGTTTTGCGTTTTTACAGTATAACAGTATTCAATGACACCAAGTTAAAACAGTTTGGTGATGTTGTGAGTTGGTGATTGTATTATGTGTACATTTTGATGACTATTTGTCTTCGTTATGAAAATAAAGATGCTTAGATTACTTTTTAGAATTTTTAAGTGCACATCATTTTCATCTTAGGCAGTGTAGCGTAAGTTTAATTATTGCTTTGCTGAAGTCTTTGCTTGTGTCACTTAAAATGCAAAGAATATTATGGAGAGAATGAATGGCATCATATACCCACAACAGATTTCATTGCGGACTGTAGCAAGTGTTTTAGATCATGTTATTAAAAGCTGAAAATGTATTGATTTCTTGTGGTCTCAGTAGGGCAATACATTTTCTCCTGTTCTAAGTAAAAATAAACCAATACATGAGTGCATTAATGGTGCTATTACTGAGTAGTAGCAGTATGTTTTTTAATGTCTCAGGCCTCAATCATGCAATCACTTACTCACATGTTTTACTATAGGCAGTTTCACAGACCCATTATACTCAATTGGATTATTTGTCTCAGAAATGAATTCAGACTACATTCAAGTCACACATTCACTTCTAAGTGAATGTGAATTTGCTGTGCATTATGTAAGCC